AATAGCTTCTGTAGTCACTCTGGAGTTCTGAACCAATTGTCCAAGTGTCTCTTGAGTAGGTACCATGCCTAATCCATCTCCATCTGCTCCATCTTGTACCGGTACTCCGGCGGCTGATGACGGTTGTGCAGCTTGAGGTCCTTGCATAGCTTCCGTCCTGACAAGCAAACAAACAAGTACCATTGCTCTGAGTTTCCGCTTGAATCCGCTCACTTTACGTCTCCAACGAATACCGTGCATCCGATTCACTTTCCTTCGCATACAAGTGCATGTCACTCCTTTTTGCATTCTTCCTGCAAGAAGAGTTGACCTGAATACGCAGCTCCAGATGAGCTGAAGTGCTAACAGTACAAGCACAGCATTTGCTGTGCGCAACTTCGTACACTGGGCAGCGAGTTGCTCAAGCGCCTCACAGATCATTCTTGTCGATCTGCTCTGCTGGCTCACTTCTTCCAGCTTCTTCCTGCTGCTTTGCTTTAGCGGTCTTACGGCGTTTTGGTTCGTCGATTTCCGACGACTCCGAATTATCCACAGGGGATTCGCTTTCGCTGGCCTCATCTGACATCTTACTGTCGCTACCTGCTTCGTCCTGCATGTTGTCCTTGACAGGCGTCTCTTCCGGCACTGCGGGTGCTTCTGGTACTGTCGGTTCTTCTGGAACGGCTTCCTTTGGAACTTCTGGATCTTTTCCTGCATCCGCTTCCGGGGCATCCAAGATTTTCTTTGCTTCACGCGACTCCAACGTTCTGCGTAGCTTGGCCTTGTGGTGCTCTTCGTACTTCTGCCGAAGCTCCTCTCGGGTCGGTGCTTCCGGACTAGGCTCGACCAAATCCACCACATTCTTTTCATCCTCTTTGGCTGTCCAGATACTGGGCTTTCCTGGCTCGGCCTTCTTCTTTGCTGTAGCAGCTTGGCTGGCCTCCTTCTTCCGGTTGGCTTGCTCTTCTCTATACAGAACTGGAAAGCCTCCTTCATCCTTTGCCTGCTTCCAGAATCGCTTGTTACTCACCGCGACTTCCCTGGACATACTCCCAAAGTCGCAAAGTGCGAGCATTGGGAAAAATCTTTTGTACGGATTCGTAGTGTCTCCTTGGAATCCGGGGCGAGTGATTCCTCGCATCGGGTACAGTCGCCTTGTCTTGTTTCCGCGATCCAATATTGTGAGCATGGGCTCGTACAGGCAAAAGCATAGCTGGCTAAACTTGCATGCCTTCTTCCAATGTCCACCATGCCAACATAGCGAGCACAAACTTTTTCCTGGAGGTAGGCTTCCATACACAGTACGTTTCCGAGTAGTCTCTGTTGGTTCGATGTCCAAACGACCTTTTCCTGCAGGATGCATACTCCATACTTCCGTGAAGCGTCCGGCACCCTTACACTCCCGTCGAGACGGGATGAGTCGTACGCTGTAGGGTTCCAACTGAGCTTGGATTGTCTCAAAGTCTTCATACGAAGTGATCTGCCAAGGGAACTCCCAGAGGGGCTGATGCTCTCCGTCTTTCTCTCCAATCCCGCGCATAGCCAATCCAGAAAGGATTTGTACCAACTCCTTTGTCCAAGTTGGACTAAAAGGTTGTGACCCAGCTAAATACTCTTCTCCGCTTCGTAGAGGGCGATTCTCGTTGAGATCTTCTTCGTAGATTCTTTCTGTCCATTCCCATCCTGGGGTTTCCTCAGGCGGTTGCTTCTTACCTTTTCCAGACCTTCTTTTATCTGGAAGCTTCTGCTCTTTATCCTCTCCAGCCTGAGCATCCGTTCCAAACTTGGGCATTTTCTTTGGCTGCGGCATCGCTTTAACAGCGGGTTCAGCTGGTTCCGGTGCTTGAGTAGTTCCATCGTGGATGGATTGCAAGATCTGAAGTAGACCCTTTTCCTCTCCGTGGCGTACTGCGATGTTGATGGCTTGTCCCATGGCACTTTGCAGTTTCTCCGATGCCACAATGAATCCGCTTTGAGCCTTTTCCAGATTCCTGCAAGCTTGGAGCCAATTCTCTTCGGCCTTACGGGAGTTTTCCACTTGCTCGTCTTTCCGAGCTCGTAGCTTGTCCACGACTTCACGGGCTTTGTTGCGGTACCATTCTTCCGCCGAGTCCAGTGCTGCTTCGGGTACCTTGAGCTTTGCTTGTTGCTTGTTAGCTTCCTGAAGTGCTTTAGCCATACGCTCCGATTCTTCCACTGCACGAAGGCGTTTGGTTTCTTCCTCCAGTGCTCGTTGCTTTTCCTTCTTCCTCCAGCTTCCAAGATCCGCTTTTGCTCTTCCAGATCGGCCAACTTTCTCTTCCGAGACTCTGCCTCGGACTTCTTCTCTTCTTCTTCCTTGAGAGCTTCGAGTCGTTCTGTCTCTTGATCCTTTCCTGGGGGATCATAGAAAGATCTGGGCTTGAATTTCTGATTGTTCTGCAACATCCGGCTGTAGATACTAAGGAAGGGGGGTTGATACTTTCCGTCAAGTCTGAATCGCTTATACTCTTTCTCAAGCAACATGACGTTCTCAATCGATCCTGCCACTTCCATAGCTTCATCCAGCTTACGTCGAACACCTTGAGGACTGGTAGCTTCTTCTTCCTGTTCCTTCCTAGCCTTCTTGGCTTTACGGCTTTGCTTGGCTTCTTTCCTGGCAGTCTTCTTCTCTTTCTTCTTTTCTTCTCGCGACTTTCCTCCAGTTGTCCCTGGAGTCTTTGCTGGAGTACTTTCAGCTTTCCTTCCTGGCGTCTGCAGGAGGTTAGCTTGCTCCACCAAGGTAGCTCGCCTTTCTTCTGCACTCTGCCGCATTTCTCCCAACTCTGTAGTCCGGTCCACCATGACGTCTTCATGTACAGGCCTTGCCACTCTAGGCAACGGTTCATGTTCCGTGACTCGAGACACTTTCTGGTGAGGTTCATCCTGGAAGATCTCACTGTCGTTGAGTTCCATTGTTCCTGCCGCTGAGACGAGAGATCCTTCTTCCGCTCGTTCTCCCATCCTTGGGGATACAATTGATCCCATACACAATCCGAAATTTCCTCTTCGAGGGTAAACGGCTGAGGTCGAATAACAAGGTGAGACATGTTCATCCACAAGCAATTTGTTTCCTGAATACTTCCTTGGCTCAGCGTGATACTCATACAGAATCCAAACACAAATAGCAAGAGGTCCTGGTACATCTTCTCCATGATCACCTTCATGGCGAATTCCAAGATTTACTGTCCAGTTTCCAGGTATCCTCGTGTACTTCCTCCGGTTCCAATCCGGTTTCCTTCGGCCCACAGGTTTCCTGGATCTTCAGGCTTCCTTGCTCCGCTACCAAGTTAAACTGTAAAACCCTGAGCGGTCACGCTTTTACTCTTGAACCAAAGGCGCTGCGTCGGTCACATAGTATTCAGCTATACAATACTATACCGTAGCCTGGGCTCACCAAAGGTGTGGGGCGTTCCTATGTACAGAATTCAACATGATTGCACCACCGCCGCCCTCAAAGTCAGCAGCAGCACCCTCATTTGCTCCGATTGCGCCACCGCCGCCAGGATCACAGCACACGGCAGCCTCACAAGCACGAGTGGCTTCGTTGCCCCGTGAGGATCCAAAGGCGTGTTTTGCGCACGAGCGTACACAATATACACGAGCGTATAGTCAACGCCGTGATTTGTAGCGTATACGCTGCGTATATGATATACGCTGCGTATATAGGTTATACGCTGCGTATACGCAAGCCATACATATTTGCGTTGATGCATATAATGCATCAATGTGCATGCGCTGATGCAGAAAACGCTTGCGCTGATGGCGTTTACTGGCCAACTTCACGCTGATGCGAAAAATGCTTGCGCTGCTATATACTGGTCAACTGCTATACTTTCAGCAGAAACTTATTGTAACACTTAAGTGACGTTAATTCTTTTTCCCATCCATCCTAAGATGGTGCACACATGCGCTGATGCGAAAAATGCTTGCGCTGATGGCGTTTACTGGCCCATGCGCTGGTGCGAAAAATGCTTGCGCTGATGGCGTTCACTGGCCAATTGCGCTGATGCGAAAATGCTTGCGCTGATGGGGCTTTCAGCAGAAACTTATTGTAACACTTAATGTACTTATAATTCTTTTTTACCATCGTAAGATGCTATACACACATGCGCTGATGCGAAAAATGCCTGCGCTGATGGCGTTTACTGGCCAATTGCGCTGATGCGAAAAATGCTTGCGCTGATGGCGTTTACTGGTCAACTGCTACTTTCAGCAGAAACTTATATTGTAACACTTAATGTGACGTTAATTTTTTTCCCATTCATCGTAAGATGGTGCACACATGCGCTGATGCGAAAAATGCTTGCGCTGATGGCGTTTACTGGTCCATGCGCTGATGCGAAAAATGCTTGCGCTGATGGCGTTTACTGGCCCATGCGCTGATGTTGAACAACACGTGTGCTAGCTGCCGCAATAGCCAACAACGTGTGCATTCGAGCCGATTGTAATAACACTTGCAACATTTGAGCCAAGCTCGGTTTTCTATAGGGTGACTTGAGCCAACATTCGAGCCAAACTCATTAAGGTTTGTAGGGTGCTATATGTGCACACATACAATCATGCATATGTGTGTGTGTGACGAAACTTAGGGATTTCTTTATGCGGGTAATATGATAGCATATATATAAGCCAATATGATTGCGCATTCTCTTGTGACTCGAATGTGACAACGTTGGGAAATGAGAGGGTCATGGGAGATGTTGCATCACAGAAAGTTCTTGGGATTGCTTATAAGAATTGGCTTCATACGAAAAAAGGCTCCCGAGGCGATCTGCTTCTCATGGGCTTGAGGGTTTCGGGTTGAGGGCTTTTGGGGCATTCGTTTTGGGTCCGGCCGGCTATCTCAAAACCCGACCCGAAAATCCCGAACCCAATCTCATCAGGACCAGCTTTGCACACCCAAGGAAAGCTGTACCCTGAATCCTCTATGCAATCCCAAATCTTCGCGTAAACCGCATTCGAAAGCTTTTGCGCGAGGATCCGAGCCGTCACTTCGTCATTTAAATGCCCATGATGCATCGTCTCTTTGCATATTCGGCGCTAGAGCTGCTTAAAGGTCTTCTGTTGTCGTCGCACAGCAACAGCTCTTCGAGAGTCTCCTTTCCAGTAAGTGCAGCACCGGGTCCAGTAGATGCTCTTTTTGCTCGCTCCCATGACAAAGCCAGGTACAGCACATAGCGCTGTTGTACACGCAGCATCATCGAAACCGAATGGCACTTCACAGCGATCTTTTTCATCTTCCCCATGTACGATTCTGAATTGAAGTTTTGATGTATACGCACGTTCACTCGTGTCGATGCCACATACAGACCAATGTGTTGAAGATAATGGTGTTTGGGACGGATTTTGCACAAAGCGATGCCCAAGGCCTCAAACTTCAAAGCCAGCCGCTGCCACGTCCGCAGGTGCAATTGAACCAGCCCGTTGAACCTTGTAGAATCCTGCTCGGTCATCAATAAGTCGGAGTTGTCCAACAATCGTTGGGCCTTATTGAGTGCTCGTACCACTACTGCCATCTGCAGCAACTCCTCATCCTCGTGCAGTGAGAGACGAAGCAGACAGGCGAGAGAGACACAGAGAGAGAGAGGGAGAGAGGCGAGGAACCTAGGGGGAGGGTACAAATATCTAGAAATACGGAAATTGATGACATGATGCTTGCCCGATATGTGAAGGTCCTGAACATTCTGCAACACCATCTGAAGCTTCCTTGCCATGCCCCACACCATGACCTTCATCTGTGCAGCTTTGAAGCTGCTCCCCATTTCCGGATATTCACTCCAGGACTCCAAGCCCGTGTTCGCAGGTGTCATTGCAGGCAAAGAGCAGGAAACCCTTCAGGCGGGAAGTTATGAACTATTGAAATAACAGAACACATAATAAGCTTAGAACAAAGTTTGTTCACCCCCCCCCCGGGCGGCCCAGTCTCGCTCTTGCGCTCCTTCTTGATCCAGGCTGTAAGGCTCTTGAGCTCTAGGCGCAAATTCGTCATGGAAATCACACCCCGCATTGCCATCAGCTTGATAGCGGCAGCAACCACATCTCTTGCAATCCCCAGCAACACAATGTGCATCCAGTCAAAGAAAGTATTTTCAATCTTCCATCCTGGCATTGCCGTCCAGGGTGAAAGTTCGGCTGAAGGAGTTGTGTTGAGGTACATGTTGTGATCAATAGCCGTCAAAAGAAAGGGAGCATTCGCCGAAAAGTTCTTGAAGTTCATATCATCCATGTGTTTCTCTGTCGGCGTCTTCGCACAACATCGGTCGCACAGCTGGATACAGTTGTAGTGGCGAGAGAAATAGTGACACTCCCGCCGGGCTTTCTGATCTCCACGAAATCCATAGAAGCACGCCCTCGGACCATCAGAGAGAAAGAGAGAGTGAGAGAGCGAGAGAGAGAGAGAGAGAGAGAGAGAGAGAGAGAAAGATAAAGAGAAAGAGAAAGAGAGAGAAAGAGAGAGAGAGAGAGAGAGAGAGAGAGAGAGAGAAAGATAAAGGCACGCCCTCAAGCCTGGGGAAAGAAAGAAAGAAAGATAAAGAGAAAGAGAGAGAAAGAGAGAGAGAGAGAGAGAGAGAGAGAGAGAGAGAGAGAGAGAGAGCGGCCCCCAAGTGCATGCCCACACACACAGAGCCACACATACACACACACACAGCTGCAACCCAAGAATCTTCCATTCACCAGCCAGCGCCGTGCCACTTCTTTTCGCACGGCACGACGTAGAAGGAAACTCTTCACCATAGAAGCCAGTCGATGGAAACTTTCCGCTTTGAAGGACTTTGAAAGACCAGCTCATCAGCCTCGCGATTTCCTTGTGCACGTAGTTCTTGACCTTCGAGTAGGCGATTTGCTTTCTGTGCGTTCGAGTTCAGTATATTAGCATGCACACAAAAACCAGCAAATCCAACACAGGCCTGCTTCTGTTGCATAGCTTTTTGCGGGAGGATGCAGCACACGAACTGCGTTTCAAGGCAATCCACATCCAGCAATGATGACAATGCACTCGAAAACGACCAAATGTTGTATTCGGAGTTCTTGTACATCTCTGCACCATCAAAGTGAATCAGCAACGGTATCATCTCGCTTAGATCGCAGCCGGCCAATGCCGGATGATCCTTCACTTCTTCCGGCACATATCGTTGCAAATGCCGCCAAAATTGCTTGATCGCAGCCGGCGAGTGTCGCCCCAGCATACTCAAACCAAACTGGCAGGGAACAAGGAGACATTTATACAGCATGACATACCAGTGAAAACGCGCACACACACACACACACACACACTTACTTATACTCACGTGCACACATACGTGGAAGCACATGTAACCAACAGCATGCTCTTGCTGCTTGTCTTTCTCGTCCTCGCTCTCTTGCCCTTTCTTTCGGAAAACACACCACGTCTGTCTTTATTTGGCCCCCACTGAAACCTGATGGTCGCTTGAAGAGTGAATCGCAGAGAAGACCTCGTGTGGTAGGAGCACAGGTATCCGCGTGGATGCCGTCCCCTTCAAAGGGTTATCTTCCTGTTCACCAATGTCATCAATATCGGCATCGTCTTTTTCAAGCATGACATCTATGAAGTATGGTTCCAAAGTCACCCCGTACAAGCCTCGAAGCCACCTATGTAGGTCTCGCTCAGCATTCGACTCATGGGCACCGAAGGAGCCCAAACTTGCAAAAGCAGTCACGGCTTCTTGGGGTATTCCATCACGAACCATTGCAACTGCCAAACTTTGCGCATGAGCCACATGGCTCTTCCCACTACCAATCATTTCCAGAAGCTCTTCTGCTGCGTGAGAATGTGGCATCGCAGCATAGTCTTCTCTCCGACGAAAAGATTTGGGCCTGCGAAACGACACGACAGCAACATTGTAGCTGTACAAGCTATAAGCACACGACGATCACAACGACCAAACCTCGGCTTGGATAGGTCATCACCAGCCACGCCTGCAATCAACAAAGCAGAAACAGCATCAGGATCCCTAAGCAAAGCCGACTGCCGCACATGCAAAGAGCCAGCACCACAGTCTTTCCACAGAGCCCTATGCACTTCTGCAAAACCATCTGCACATCTTGGCAAAATGAGTTTCCCAAGGCATTCGGTGACACGCATGGCACACTTCTCTCAGAATCATTCTCCCAAACTTCGGTACTTTACACAGCATGTGTGTGTATGCTGGGTTAAACAAAACACACACACACACACACAAATCCTCAAGTGTGCACGCATGTCCCTGTGAGGGGTCGCCGTGTGGCAAGCTCTATCCCACGTCAGAATGCTCTCGTCCCGACTCGTCACACATTGCGCAGCGCATCTTCAAGCCGCATCAGTCCGCTTTTGCGGAACTCTTGGCGGCCGCCTTCTTTGCTGCAGCCTTTTTTTTGGATTTCAATCCAGACTGCAGGCCGTTTGCTGCTGCCTGCGTGTAAGCAACGAATCCAAGCACATGCCCAATGTATCTACATGCTAGTTTGCATCCAACATCATATCATTGTGCCTGGGCTTGCTTGAACCATGGCTTCTTCTGATCCACCCACTTGATAACTTTCCTCAAGGCTTTTGTGTTTCCGTCTTTGTCCAGCTGACACATCTTCTTGTAGGCAGACTCCATCTGCTTCGAAAATTTGAGCAGCTGCTCCGATAGCTGGCCGCCGTAGTTCAGCTTGGTCAGGGTGATGGAGGTTTTGCGAGCCTCCGTGGAATCCTTCAGGATCTCGGTTTCCTTTTCCGCCACCTGCCTTGGAACAATTGACTATCAACCACGGATACCACATGCAGCCTTTATAAAGATTGAATTCTTGAATGCAATCAAGAAGCTCTTTCAGGGTCTTGGGCTTCATCTCCTCGGGTTCTTCCTTATTGTCCTTCCTCGGTTTTGGGATGCGCTTCTGCATCCCTCCCGCCTCGTCGAAGAGGCCCAGGAGGGCCTTCTCACCAGCCTCGGAGGCTGCATGCGCAGCAGGCATACTGCCTGCCTGAAGCACATTGCCCTCTTCGAGAACCTTTGCCAAATCTTCATCCATCGCTTGATCCACCCGGAGGGTCTGAGACTCGCTTGTGCTGTTGTCAAGCCGCAGCAGGTGGCCCTTCGGCATATAATACCAAGCTTCCTCAGAAAGCCAATTCACATGCAGCAAAAACCCTTCAGCCCATATGCCACACTGACCGCAACCTAGACACATCCTCTTTGTCCGGAAAGTCTTTGTCTTTGTACCAGCGTCCTTCGGCTTTTCTTGCGGCAATTACTTGCTTGTACATGGCCTGGCAAACACACACGATATGTAAAGAAGCATGCACACAGACCGACGGTGCCTCGTCGGCGTACTTAGACTTCAAGTCTTTCCCCTGGATGGCAACAACATCCTGCCGGTTGAGATTCTTCCTTTCATGTTTTCGTTCCATGATAAGCTTCACCCTGGGCGGCAACGTGCCGTGCATCACAAATCACGTCTGGAGTCGGACAACAGCAAGAAGGCAAAAGGTGCAAATGCACAAACGCGCCATAGCTTCAGCCAAGTAGCTCATCCCAATTGCCGTTGCAATCGAGCCAGGCACCAAACAAATCCGTCTTAGATTTGCTTGCGTAGGAACTAAGGCTGACGGGGAACTTCTGGCGATTCTTGATCGCCCGATCAAACACGGCCCATTCCTTTTTGTGCGTCGTACCTTAGAAGCACAAAAGACACACTAGACTGTCACTATACACATAACCCCCTATAGTTTCAAGTTGCACAAGACATCAAACGATATTTCATCTGGGGAGCTGTTCCGCACTGCTTCCTCCTCCTTCTGCGTGGCCTCCACCAAGGAAGTTGGGTCGGGGGTCGGTTCGTCATCATCTCCAGACAAGGGCTCCCCGTCGGTATTCTCGGACTCTTCCTCAGATGAGGAACCGCTTGGCATGTCTTCTTCATTCAGGTGGCACTCTTGCGACGGCAGGATTTCCTCCTCGGCTTCGGCTTCACATTCAGCGGCATTCGGAGATGCCTCCGGCTCCCCCGCTCCCTCCGATTCCTCCTGTCCATCATCATCATCATCATCATCCTGGTCACCGAAATCCGCGGAACCTTCTGAAGCCATTGGGGAGCATGCAGCAAGTTCCTCGGCTGCTATCTGTGCCTCGATGAGCGCCACTTGATCAAAATCATTCTCGGATTCTCCGTCCTAGACACAGAAAGAATGCTTCAAACTCATCATGCACCATAACAAATGCGCCACGCTCTGCGGAAAGGAAACTGCACCCACCTCCTCGGACACGCGGGTTTTCTTATCTTTGGCTTCCTTCTTGTCTTTGGCTTCCTTCTTGTCTTTGGCTTCCTTCTTGTCTTTGGCTTCTTTCTTGTCTTTGGCTTCTTTCTTGTCTTTGGCTTCCTTCTTGTCTTTGGCTTCTTTCTTGTCTTTGCTTTCCTTCTGGTCTTTGCTTTCCTTCTGGTCTTTGCTTTCCTTCTGGTCTTTGCTTTCCTTTTGGTCTTTGCTTTTCTTCTGGTCTTTGCTTTCCTTCTGGTCTTTGCTTTCCTTTTGGTCTTTGCTTTCCTGCTGGTCTTTCTTTCCCTTGTGGTCTTTGCTTTCCTTCTTCTGTTGCTGTGCTCTCTGGCCTGGGCCCGGTTCAGGTCCCTTCGCCTTCGCTGGCGCGGGGTCTTGCTTGTCCTTCTTGTCTTTTGCATCTCTGCTCTCTCTGCCCTCCTTCTTCTCTTTGATTTCCTTCTCCTGCTGCGTCGTGCCTGCCTTCTTTTCCCTGCTCTCCTTCTTCTCTTTGTCTTTCTTATCCTCTTTTCTTGGCTTCTGGTCTTGGGCTTCTATCTCTCCCTTGCTTTCCTTCTTCGGCTTCTTCTTATTCTCCTGGTCTTTCGGTGGCACAGAAGACGCCGCCCCTCCTGCCTTCAGCAACTTTTCCTGCCGAGCCACTTCTCGATCGGATGGCTCGGCTTGCCTCTTTGCCTTCTCTGAGCTTTTGTGGCTCCCAGAACCAGTAGAAACCCGAGGCTTTTTTGCCGGCTCGCTTGCTGCATCTCTTGATTGCTGGCGCTTCGTAGGAACACGGTGGGTGACGTCTTTTCCCATGGCTGCAGCACTGCAGCACACTTGAAAAAAAGTTCCAAGCCAAATGCTTAAAGACATGAGTGTTGCTTCAACATGCACGGAACGAAGGCCCTCTCCCACAATCTCACTGCATCTCACTCGCACCTTTGCAAACGATGGACAGACAGACAGGCAGACCGAAACAGACAGCAGCGCTGGGCGGGACGGCTGGGCGGGACGGCTGGGCGGGACGGCTGGGCTGGGCATGGGCTGTGATGGTACATATAGAGACAGAGAGACAGACATGCATGCGTATACGTGATATAGAAACAGCACGCACATGGCATATGTATATAATGCATGGATAATATGCACAGACCGTGATACTCTACTTTTATACATGCTATAGCTTCCATGTGTGCATATTACACATGTTATTAGGTTTGCTTCCAGTGCATGCAGGCAAATCAGGCAGCCCCAATTGAATTATACCTACTGTATTTTGCTTTAGTTTTCTAATATCAGTACATCTACAATTATGTATTATCACAACTGTATTTTTGTTACATATATCTGTATGTATATATAGATATAGACTCATACACTTCCTATACTACATATAAGTATAATACAGCAATATATATATATATATATATATATATATATATATATACATTATATACATATAATATTCAATAATAATTAACTATGTATATATGCTTATAACTGCTACAAATCACGGCAGCACGATTCACGGCATCGGCTGCTACAAATCACGGCAGCGGTTGCTCTACAAATCACGGCAGCAGTTGCTACAAATCACGGCTCTACAAATCACGGCAGCGGTTGCTAGAAATCACGGCAGCGGTTGCTACAAATCACGGCAGCGGTTGCTACAAATCACGGCAGCAGTTGCTACAAATCACGGCAGCGGTTGCTACAATCGCGGCTGGTTGATAAAATTTTGTCAGCGGCTGCTACAAATCACGGCAGCGGCTGCTACAAATCACGCTCCTAGGAGCTATAATGTTGGCCGAAATCGCGGTTCATGGTTCGAGTTGTGGCCGTTCGGGGTTGCTTCGGTGTGGTTTCAGGGTGGCAAATACAAATCACGGCATTCCACGCCAAATCACGCTAGCAGTCACGACAAATCACGGCATTGACTTTGCCGGTGTTGCAAGCATTTTTGTTGGCTGTGTTTCGTTTCCGTTTCGTTTTTTTCCGTTCCCATCCCTCTGTGTAGCTCTCCTGTTCCGTCTCTGTCGATCTGCGCTCTCCCGTGTCCTTTCTCCTGGGTCCCCTGCCCGTTTCCTCTCTCCTCTCTCTTCTCTCCTCCCCCCCCTTTGCCTCTCATGCTGTCCCCTCCCAGCATTCCCTTTACTCTCATGTATAACCATTCCATGCATGCGCAGAAGAGCATACTGAGACTGTCTGTGTGACATACATGGCACCCAATGCACCCAGCACGCTGCCTTGATCTGCAGCTTTGCATTCAGCCAATCGCAGACGGCCTTGATTCAATGTAAACCGCGGCATAGTCCTGCGTAGCAAGGCACCATGTTCTATTATCTATACGATACCCACAGCTATATACAGGCACATCACCAGGCATGCATGCAGAAACCTTTCAGTGCAACATTTTCCGGTTGGCGCACCCCGACCATACTGCTTGCATGGAACTGCACACAGAGCTCGCGCTGCATGCTGCGTAGCAATTAAGGATGTACAAGTATTGCAGTTACTGCTGTTGTCGCAGGAATGCAAAAACTTTGTCGAAATGGGCACCATGTGCCCATCTCCTGGAAACTTTAGAATCCACAGGCACCTTCAAAGGCCGCTTCATAGCATCACGCAGATCTGCCCAAGCCTGCTCCTTGACGTGTTTGTCGTGCTGGGTCCGCAAGGATGCCAGTGCAATGCCGAACCTTATTGGGAAACATCATTGCAAGGGTTCGGGCGGCGACCCTTCGTGTATGTCATGTCGAAACAGCGTACCTCAGAGCCCCACTGCCTTGGGTACGCTTGCGAGGCCTTCAGGTGCTTACCGCCGTTGACTCGTTTGTTGCCAAACTCGTCCGTGTAGCGCACCGACATCTCCCATCCCCTCTTCTGCTCATCTGTCGGCAACTCATCCACAGGTGGCTTGAACTTCGCAAGATTTCCCAGTATCTGTCGATCTCAGAGGCAACAAACATGCACCACCGACTGACATTCCATGCACCAATCACCAATCTGAGTGTATATGTGCGGTCAAGGCACTGGAGTACAACCATGTTGGTTTCTTGGATTTCGCGCCAAAATCCTCCATGTTCACAGATACACGATGGCATTTCACCAGGCCGAAGAGCAACTGCATGGCCGGGTGATGTTCCATCAGCGATCTTTCTGGTTGTTCCAATATCCACCACACTCCCTTAGAGGAGCAGATCAGCAGGAGTGCAACAACCCGCCAAATCATGCGGTTTGCAGCTCTCACAGAGCTGACAGATTCGTCTCCAATCACATCACCCGGACGTCGTTGGGTTTTCGATTGGGACCTCAAATCATAAGAGAACCACAGCAGAGGTCAATATGCAAGCACACAGACAACGCACATCATATGTGTGTTCCACATCAGCAACTCAGTGTCTTACATGAATATCCATGATGAGCAAACTGGTGCGGTCAGCATTCCACTGCCCGGCACCAGCCTCAAGCACTCAAACACTGCAATGCAGAAGCCGAGGGAGCTGAGAATGTCCATCGTGCGTTCGTTGTAGCTCACATCGTGTGCAACCGCACGCCGCCCAGCCTGGGAGCAACTTGCAGGGAAGGGGCTTTTGGGAGGGTTGCCGGGGCAAGAATGCAAGCATTGAACTATTCTGCAAACAGGCGGCTCGAATCTCAGCTAGGGTAACAGCTTTGCGCCCAGCAAATGTCTCGAAGTGCTGCAAGGAAGTTTCCCAAGGCAGGTTCTCGATCCGTGTGACCATAGCCACCAGTTTGAAGATAACCTTGACACTCATAAAAGTTTGTGGCATCGCGGGAAGGGTATCACATGCTCATGATGCAACCAATATATGCCAGCCAAAGCTCCAGTGGCACACCGATCTGTGCCAAACCATACAGCACATACATTTGCTGCAAAAGTCGCCCGGTCTTCGGCGGGGGTCGCTGCACACGCAGCTTTCTTTTGTCTTTGCGACGACGCTGCTTCATTGCATGCTGCGACAACTTAGCACAGACTGCACATGTCATGGAACATGGTTTTCTTATATCTAGACGAAACATGTTAGCATACTTGTATATCATGTTTGTATGGGCTGGATGTGTGGCAGCATCTGTTCGGCATCCACATACCATTGCAATAGACACTATGAGCCTGCACACAAGTTCGATGACTCTCATGCAAGCAGACAGACACACTCGCAAACATAGTCGATGACTCTCATGCAAGCAGACAGACACACTCGCAAACACAGTTGCGTGCTAGCCCTGAACCCCTGCGTCGGTCCTTCCACATCATGATCGGCCCACATCGGAATATATCATCATGGGGGATGCCTGCGTGCGGGCAATGCTCATGTGCTGGGTGCAGGCAATGCTCATGTGCTGTTGCCCGTGATCACGACATACAGCAACTGATGGGACTTTATTTTTCAGCGTGGCTTCGCTCTGCTGAAAGTCAGCCACCCCTCGTGTTTCAAGCCACGCTCCGTTCGGCAGCATTGCCGAGGGCAAAATCAAAAGAACTGTGTGCAAAATTTGCGGCTCGCTGCATCTCCAACACAGCTTATAAAGCCCGAGTGCTCGCATTGCCGGATGGCATGATCTCTCTTTGCATTGCTGCTTGTTTCTATGGTACCATGAGTAGGAGGTGTGTATCGTGTGGATAGTAGTACAGTATTACAAGTTCAGTATAGCACAGCATTAGGGAACAGTACAGTATACATACAAATCTCTCCTTGCATTAGTACTATATTCTATGGTACGTACTATTAGTAGATAGTATAGTACAGTATTTCAGGTTCATTAGTATAAAAAAAAGTATATGCATACAATTAAGTCTCTCTTTGTATTAGGACTATATACTCCATGGCACCAATAGCAGGTGTTCTTGTAGATAGATAGTATAGTATTACAAGTTAAATATAAATATAGCGCTACAGTATATAGTATACAGTGTACATACAGGAATGTTTTTGTATTTAGTATAGTATATAAGAGTAAAAGTATAGGAGTATGAGCGTATGTCGTACTCCTAGCATACCGGCAACTGTCATCACTGATCACTCCATCCGACCCTTTTCTTCACTTCGGACCACGCGGCTTCGACACCGTGGAAAGTAGCCCACCCGACCTGTCCTCGGGGGCCCGGAGCACCCGTCGCAAGCCGCTTGCTGTAGAAAGCGCGGTTCCTCAGCAACACCTCCACGGCACACTCGTTTCCCGGCGAGGCCACCGTATACGAGTGTGCTCCTTTGTTTGCCTTGTCCCCCTGGGGCAGCGCGTCCTTCGGGATGCCAAGCGCCGTGAGGTCGTAGGAGCCGTGGCGACACGGCTCGGTTGCCGCCTCCTCCATCTCCTTGGCCTTCTTCGCGATCTTGGCCACCTTATTCCTCTTGCGCCTGCCGCCTTTGCGGTTGAAGCCGGCCTTCTTGACCTTCTTCGGCAAAGCCCTGCTCTTGGCCTGGCCTTTCTTTCTCGTCGGCTTCTTCTGCACCCCAACAGCCGTCAGGTCCTGGCACGCATACACACTTAAGGCTGCCCGATCCGGGCTTATACACGCGATAGCAAAGCCTCATCATCGCGGCCGTCGGCTGCGAGCATGGAGTCCAACTCCAAGTCCTCTTTCGCATCGCTGTGTTTGGGGACTTTAGGTTTGAATGCACAGAAGTTGCATTGCCAATAACGACCCCCCGAGGCAACTGCTTCATCTCCCAGGGGTGAGCTTCCATCCTTCAAAAGGCTGTCTTGCTATTCTGCTAACTTGCTTAAATGGATCAGAAACTATCGGCCTCTTCGGCACTGGCTGCATAACCGGACGGGCTTCCGGCAGCAAAGATATCCTCAAGCAATTGGAGCATCCCATCCGGAGTATAACGTCAGTACGAGAGTGATACATTTGCCTCAACCGGTGGGTCATCCTTGGGATCATGGGCACGAGGTGGCTCATCTTTGGCATCATCCTCACACACAATAAAAATTCGTGAACTTTCAAAGTGCAGGTGCATGTGCAGCATGCAGTCCTCGCTGGAGCTCCAAAACTTAGCCGCCAAGTCCACCTCATCGTCATCCTGCACCCACATCATCTGAACATGTATGTTCCATATTGACATATTGCATGCTTGCATGGCAGTCCAGCATGGTTTCTTTCACCCACTCATCCTGGCCCGGGCTGTCGAAGTCGCTGGGCAGATCCTAAACGGGACTGAGCAATAGATCTAGAAGCCTGACATTAATGAAACCTGTGCACGAAACTGAAATACATCTCACTGTCCTCACCGGGCGAGCCTATCGCTGGCAGCACCTGAACAGTTTGTTCAATTGCTCTGATTGAAAACAACTCGCCTGCATCCCCGCCTTCTCTGAGCTGGACTCTCCAGGCCCTTGCACGTCGCTGTCGCTCGCATCACGATCCTACACCATAACATAGTGTCTCGGGAATGTAATCTGTCCACACAAACAGACTTGCTTAATGCGGTCCTTTCGGGTCGAGTCATCCCCAGTCTTCTTCGGTCCAATGTCGGATTCGCTTCGCTGATCCTGCCACAAACACCACATACTTTCACGAATCATTGCTGCACCTGAACACTGACCTGCATCCCCACAGTCCTCGGTCGAGTCATGCGTATCCTGGTCCCCAGTCTTCTTCGGTCCAATGTCGACTTCGCTTTGCTGATCCTGCCACAAACTCCACATACTGGGACGAATCACTGCTGCACACGGTAACGAACACTGACCTGCATCCCCACTGTCCTCGGACGAGTCATGCGCATCCTGGTCCCCAGTCTTCTTCGGCCCCATGTAGGCTTCGCTTTGCTGATCCTGCCACAAACACCACATACTTTCACGAATCACTGCTGCACACGGTAACGAACACTGACCTGCATCTGACTGTCCTCGGACGAGTCATCCGCATCCTGGTCCTTCCTCTTCTTCGGCCCAATGTAGGCTTCGCTTTGCTGATCCTGCAACAAACACCACATACTTTCACGAATCGCTGCTGCACACGGTAACGAACACTGACCTGCATCTGACTGTCCTCGGACGAGTCATCCGCATCCTGCTCCTTCCTCTTCTTCGGCCCAATGTAGGCTTCGCTTTGCTCATCCTGCCACAAGACACAACACTTGCACGAATCACTGCTGCACACGAAGACTGACCTGCATCTCACTGTCCTTGGACGAGTCATGCACATCCTGGCCCTTCCTTTTCTTCGGCCCAATGCCAGCCTTCAAAATCGCACCACTGTATAAATTTCATGAATGAAACCTGCACTCGGGAGTGCCGTCCTGTCGAGACGACCTGGAATCCTTGTTCCTCGTCTTCTTGGGCCGGATCTCATCCTACAAAACCCACTGCTTGCAGCTGCAAAAGGAAACCAACTTGCATGTCACGTCACTGTCCCCAGCCTCCCTCTCATCCTGGCTGCCCGGCGTAATCACGGCAGCGCGGTTCTGCAGAATCACAGAGTTAAACCGAATTCATGTATGACCCGTATGGGAACTCCTTCAAAGCGGATCGGCGCTTCTTCGGCTCCACGTCGGCCTCGGTCTGCTCCTTTTGCCAAAGCACACAACTATAGGGACATACTGATAAGAAAAATCAGACTCAAACCGTCCTGCGAGGCTTCCTCTGAGGATCTGCTCGGCCTTCTCGAGGTCGGTCGCTTCATCCTGGAGCAAACTCTTACAAATCAACTTTAACATGCACATGCTCATGTATCACAACGTCCTTCTCCCGTGATGTGTGCGGCTCCATGTCGCTGCCACTTCGGGTGTCCTTTACAGGAACATGCGCTGCGTGTTCCATTATCACGGGATATGCACAAGTACATGCTGCATCCTTGACATCGTCATCCTCATCATCACTGATTTCCATAGGCCATACTCCAAAGATTGGTGCATCTAGATCGACTTTTGCTTGGGGTCGACACAACCAAGGCCCTCCATCATCCTGATGCGCTCATACAGTGCATACGTGTTTCATGCATGTTTCGAGACACAAGACAGCAAGCGCTGTCCTGTGGCAATCTCTTGCCACTGGCAATCATCTCCATATCCTCCTCATGCATGAACATACTTGAGCACACTCCAAGACAAACACAAAGCCTCGTCCTCGGAGCATGAGCCGGCAGAGCTCGGCGGCGACGGAACATCCGACGCTCCGGCAAAGGAGGCCGTCTTCTCCGGATCCTCCTTACACACGCTATCTGATATCTCCCACTGCATGCTCAGGAAAACTGATTGTGCAATCTAGCGGCGGGTGGCGAATCCGCTTGCGACTCCATCATTTCCATCGCTTGAGCCGCGTGCTGTTCAGCCAACAATCTCGCTTTCTCGTAGACCTCTGGCGGGAACATACCGGCCTGCAGCTCGTCGAGCTTGAGATCTAGAGGATCTTCAGCATCACTGAACTCCTCCATTACATAGTGCTGTTGTCTGCAAGTCTCACAAAACTCATGCATCCCGGCCTCCTCCGAGGTCAGTTCAGCCAGCAAAATCATTGAGTCCTTGTCCGAGAAGTCCTGGAAGGAGGGTTTAGGATTATATTATTGGGTTTGGGGGCTTTTGAAGAGTGAATGAAGTTTCCTATGGTGGGAAACGAAGAATCCTCTTCATCATCTTCGGAGCGATCTCCCAACTGCCTTGTAGAGGCTTGCGAAAGCCGGGGCTCTTCCTCAGATCGTGCATCCACGGAGCAGTCCGAACCACGGCGGAATTGCACTAACGAAGCCTCGATCCCATGCAGCCACAGCCACATCTGCAATCGGAGCGGCCTCCTCGTCGGCAATCGAGGCGAGGTACTCGGCATCGACCGCCTTGTCCCCTTCCGTCTTCGCCTCCGTCTTCGTAGGCGTAGGTGTCTTCTCCTCCAAGCGAAAAGCAGGGCAAACTAGAAAGCAATCTCCACGCCAAACCCTCTCAAAGGACAATACCCGCCTTCGGTCGAAGGTCGTGCTTCAAATCCGCGATTCTCGTGAAGCGACTGTTCTTACCTGGGATCCGGTGCTTTTGCTAATTGACATGCAAAAAACAACATGGAGCCTGCCTTCGTGAACCGATCTGCAATTGAGCCGCTCGATCGAAAAAGGTACCTCAAAGCTTGAAGGAGCTTCTTGATCTTCACGGCCTCGGCGGCCGCCTTGTTGATCACTGACTCATCCGGCTTGACAGGGAAGAGCTTCAGCTCGAGCAACTGGTTCAGCAGTAGCAAAGTGTCAGTGATCATAAAAGCGCTCGGCACTGTGGTGGGGAGTGCTTGAACCCAAGGCTTCAGGAGGAAGTAGTGCCGGGACACCTCAAGCGCACTCGGTCGTGCCACGTCCGACTCGAGTCGGACGATGGCGCCACCCCTCCAATTGGGGCCTTCTATCAAGTCTCTCACTGCCAACGGCAGGTGCTCCCGCATGGCCATGGCGATGCCCTGCACTTTCTCGTAGTTCCACTTCACTTTGCCAGAGCCTGCACGTCGCATGACTATAACTACCACGCATGAAGCCCAAAGATCGGTGCACAGAAGAGGTGGATGCTTGATATGTGCAAAGATCGACAATGCAGACTTTGTTTTTCCCTGAATCTGTTCCACAAATCATTGCAGCGAAGTCGCGGACCGAACGCCATTCAGGCTCTGGCTCCATCGCAGCCACAAGTGCCATGGCAGCACCGCGGCCACAGACCCTATCAAAGGGCCCTGGCCTTCGAGAAGTCTCAGTGGCAGTGCTGTGCTGTGCCTATGATTGCATGCCCATGCAGTGCAGCCATGAGCTAACGCCCATGGCCCGAGAGAGCTTTGTGAAGCTGACCCTGGAGTGAGCCTGCCTGACCCTGCATGAGCCTGCATGTCATGTCCGTCCTTCACTCAGCATCCCGTTCGGGCCGTGCTGTCTGCGGGTCTGCGGAATGTTGCAGCATGCGGCATGCATGCAGATCTTGACGCTTCGCTGAGCACTGTTGCAAAGTGCACGCAGCCTCTGCCACGGAGGCGATGATCAAGAGAAACTGCTCGATCTCGAGGCGGTCGCCTCGAAGGGTATACACAATAAGTTTGCTTGTCAATGCCGAATCTCTCACACACATGCAGACGATGCCCTGCCTGCCAGAAGTACGCAACAACAAAGTCGCAGGTGTGCATGCATGGCAGAACTCACATGCACACGGCACATGTGGGAAAGTCTTTATTTTCAGGATCTGGCAGGGCCCCGACTTCCAGCTCTTCTGCAATGTGCCCGGAAGCCCATGATATGTTTATATGCGGGCCATGCAAGCCATGCGTGCGAACTCCCTTGAGCTTCGATCGGCTTCGCAGGCGCTAGCGGCTAGCGAAACTCTGCCAAAGCCTTCATCTGGGATCAAGTTTGCATGCATGTTGCAACATAAAGAGTTTATACGAGTGTGCTGTATAGGGTGTTTTAGGGTATATATAGGGTCTTTTTTTCGATCGTCCTTGCTTTGAGCAAGTTTGAGCCAGAATATTAGGGTTTTAAGGAAAATACTGTCTTCTTTTCATACTTCGCAAGCACGTAACAAGATCGTTTCTCGGTCTAATGGATGTTAGAAGCATCTAACATCAGCGGACACAAAATACACCATAATGATGGCAAATGCTGCGGCGTTGCGCAAAGTACACTATCGGAGCCTCACGGCCACCCTCAGCTGCGATGCCCCAAACACTGCCGGCAGCAGCAGCAGCAGCCGCTCCTTTCGCACTCGTGGTGGCCCCATCGCCACCTTGCACCACGCCACAGGCACTGATTGCTGCAGCCGCCGCCTCACATACGCTGATGGTGCCACCGCTGCGGGGAGCCGTCCATCTAGGGTTATGAAGAGGGGCCAAGGGAGCTCACAAGGTGAGGTCTTTGCCCTTCAGCGGGTCTTCTTTCGAGCTCTGGGGGAGGCCCGTCACAACTGCATTTTGGTCCTTGAACGGATCTTGTTTCGAACCCTTGGGCGGGCCCGTCAGGGGAGCAAAGCCTAGGCAGCTCACAAGACTTGATCCCGTCAAGGTTGGAATCACAGAAATCGTCAGCTATATCCGCAAAAGCAGGCTGCAAAGGCATCTGCAGCTTGATGGCCGTGGGGGCGCAAGTACCGCCCACATCAGCAGCTTCCTGACAGACACCGAAGAGGCAATCACCAAGACAGTCAACCCCCTCACATGCACTGATTGCGCCCTCGCCGCCAGCATCGAGACACTTAGCAGCCTCACAGACATGAGCGTATGTGTTGCCACCCTCAGCTTCACTGCCGCGAGCATTGCCAGCTGCATGAGCTGTTCCATCTGCACAGGTGGAGGCCCCATCGCCACCTGCCGTCGCACCACAGGCACTGATTGCTACAGCCGCCGCCTCACCGGCACTGATTGCGCCGCCGCTGCGAGGAGCCGCCGCCTCACACGCACTGATTGCTTCGTTCGGCTCACCTGCCAACAGCCTGAGGGGTAGTCTCGGGCCGTCGTCGTGGTGTAGATGGGTCTCCATGACCCTGAGTCGTCGCTGAAGTCGAAGTCGCGAGGTGGACGGGCCACCAGAGGAAGGAGCCATTGCCTGCACTACACACCAGCAGCTTTTGCCGCCTCTACCCTAGGCGTTGCCCGCTTTGGAGCGCGTGGAGCTACCTGCTGAACCAAAGCTCCTCAGTAGCGCCTCGTTGGACTGGTTGTCAGTGTAGCAGCGGATAGCGACCCGCGAGGTCTTCTTAGCCTCCCCGTCGGGGACCCTGTACCCCTACCAGAGTGGCTAGTAGCTCTAGCGCAGCGATGACCTTGTTCGGGTCGCCCTTAGTGAAGGGACGGGGCCGGGGCCCATTCCTTCTTCACTTCTAGCCACCTCCCGCATCTGAGGTGCAACAAAATACGTCACGGCCACACCTCAGCGGGGCGGGTTGGCTGCAAACGCCCGCCGTCAGGTAACCAGGCCCTAACCAGGCTTCCTTGTATAGCTGAGGACCAGGCGTCCTGTGAGAGTCGTGGCTTCCACTCCGTGTCGACCCGAAACCCCCTTGTCTTAGCCCACTTGAACGGGTAGCCAAGACAACTTAGCGGGACCCCCATGCGTCCCCTAGGTCCCGGCCCGGTCGTCGGCATAGAGTAGCATGTCTAGCGGGAACGATGGCCCTAGCAGGTGGTATGTGAGCCGAAGCTGGCACAGGATAGCCCGAAGGCGACCAGGTTCACGTAGACCGTCTGGCTGTCGGGGTCCCCCGGAATAGCCTCCTCCGTGGCGATCAGATGACAGCCGAAATAGCCATGCTCTCCTTCAGCATGCTTGTAGCGCCTGTGGGCCTTAGCAATGTCGCCCACAACGGAGAAGGCGACCTCGCCAGCCTCCATATGTTCCCGGAGTAGCTGCTTCTTCTCCCTAGCGCCCGGGGACTTGATGCGGTGATTGACCCGGACCCCATACGTGGGTGCGTCGTGGATCATCCTCTTCTTCCCACTGGCCTCGTCTTCGACAATGGGCAATGGCACGGTGCTCGTTGAACTCGCCAAGGTCATCTTTTCCATCCATGAGCCCCTGGCCACATCCTCCTCGAACTTCTCCTCAGCGAAATCGCGGTACTCGTTCACGGAAGAGTAGTTGGGGACCCACGCTAGCGCCGCTTCCCAGGGAGCGTTCTCCAGCGGCCACTTTAGCTGCTCCTCGAAGACATGAGGGGTACGTGGTACCCACCGGAAGCCCTTCCTCTGCCTCAAGGAGGAAGTTCCGATCGGGGTCCCCCGCCGCGATCAGCAGCGCCCGAATCAGACGGAGGTATAACGGCTGGCGCCGGGGCGACCGGGTCACCTAAGTCGTTAGCTTCCAACCACTCCTTCCAGATCGTGCGTAGCTGTTCCTGGAGCTCCTCGGAGCTACAGCCTTTAGCGCCTCCAGTTGCCATCCGGAAGGCAACAGACGAAACAGAACCCCAAGCCTGGAGCCCGCCGCCTAGCAAGCGCACACGTCCACGATCAGGCGATAAACGCAAGCAGTCTGGAGCACGTGGACGCCTCCAGGGGAAATCTGTTGGCCCTAAGAGGGCCAGTAGGGCCAAGCCAAGCGACCGCGTGTGGGAGGAGCTGTCAAGCTCCGTTTCCGTGCAATTCCTTTGCCTCGGCGAAACGTGTCTCGGCTGCTGATGGGCCTTTCTGGTCAAGACTTGTCTATGCAGAGACCTTCAACTAGGCCTTCGCTGGCGGGCTTAAACGCGAAACAGAATCGAAGACATGAAAAGCAAAGCGAAAATTAACGAGAAAAAAGCGTGAACAGACGCCTTCTTCGCAGGCCCCTTTCCGTGAGAAGGTTGGCATGGGCAGAGCAGGGAGGTCTTTAGCTCGGGCACCTGTTTGGACAAGTGCCTGGAAGGCCTTCGTGTCTCGAAGCTTCGAGGTACCGACCGGGGGAACCAAAACGTTCCTGAGGATCGCCGGTACGAGAGCTTCAGTTGGTGATAATAATCTTTCCTGTCTGTAACACATATGCTGAGTCTGCTGGCGAGGGCGGAGGTGTATAGCAGCAAACTGCGATGCTGGTCGGCAACTCACGGCTGGGTCCCGGGATCGTGCCCTCGACCCTCACTCTTGATGGCGTTGAACAGCCTGATCCCTTCGTACGGCCTTTCGTCAGGTGGCCCTTCAGTGCACAAGACCAACAGGTTGTTAGTGTCCCGAAGGCGAGCAACCGAAGCCTGCTCAGCAGACGGCTGGTGGATGTCGCTGGAGCCAGGCTGGGGATCTGGACAGGAGGCAGGAGGGGGCACATCCCACGAAAGACGACCATATGGGGCCGTGCAATCAACTGCGCCGAGGGCACGTGGACGGGCACCGCAACCTTTGTGTAGCCGCTCCAAATAGTCCAAGGCATTGCGTTGGGCTAAGCTGGGCTGGGCGGCCTCCCCAGCGCATCCCGGCGCACAAAGCCCCGTAACAAAGGTCGCCCGCCTAACACCAAGACGAAGGCGGGCCCCAGTAGCTCTAGAACTCAGCTGCGGGCTGCAAGACCTGAAGAGCCCAAAGTGGGGTTGTAAGACAACCCCGTTTTGGATCTACTCATCCGATATGACGTTATCGTTTTTTCCTCCTTATCGTTTTACGGGACGTGGTGGAGTAGTAGTTGTAGTGATAGTAGTAGTAGTAGTAGTAGTAGTAGTAGTAGTAGTAGTAGTCGTAGTCGTAGTGGCAGTGGCAGTGGCAGTGGCAGTGGCAGTGGCAGTGGCAGCGGCAGTGGCAGTGGCAGTGGCAGTGGCAGTGGCAGTGGCAGTGGCAGTGGCAGTGGCAGTGGTAGTGGTAGTGGTAGTGGTAGTGGTAGTGGTAGTGGTAGTAGGAGTAGGAGTAGGAGTAGGAGTAGGAGTAGGAGTAGGAGTAGGAGTAGGAGTAGGAGTAGGAGTAGTAAAAGTAGTTGGAGTAGTTGGAGTAGTTGGAGTAGTTGGAGTAGGAGGAGTAGGAGTAGTAGGAGTAGGAGTAGGAGTAGGAGTAGGAGTAGGAGTAGGAGTAGGAGTAGG